ATTTAATCATTTTTCTTTTAATTTTAATTAGAGTTAGAAACAAAATTTGAATTGGCCTTCCACGTATGTCAGAAAAAAATTAACTGTCGTTGGTCATGGAGAACAAAATATTATAGTTTTCTTAAAGACAAAGATTAAAGTGAATCAAAGTTTGGAAGAGGAACTAAATCTAAGTAAACCAAAATTTGGAAGAGAAATTAAACCCAAAAATACTTGATAGTTGAGATGCTAAAACATATTTAACCTGAAAGACTTGTATAAAATTATTCAGGAGATGATATACTTGTCTGTCCCTCATAATTTAGTAAAATCTAAACTTTTAGGTGAACTTAAGTTTGTGAAGTGAATTGTTTTGATATTCTGAAGTGAATTAATTCACTTTTCATTTATATCTTGAAATATAAATAGGGTGTTGACTTTAAGAAAAAAAAAATATTGAAAAGTAAAATTAAATGCTTTTATAAATGAAGTGAATGTTAAGTTCAATTTTTTGAAAATAAATCTTTTTATTATTTTTTAAACACTTTTTCATAAAAGTGATTAATTTTTAATAATGAACTTTAGCAAACATAAAATAACATAATTCAGACTTAATTCAATTGGAACATTGTTAAACTAAAAATGGTAAAAATTATTAGGACAACCATAATCAAGATTACGATATGCTCATCAATTTTATTCTTGTATTCTCAGTTTATTTAATTATTTATATCTCTAAACAAAAATTCCAAGGATAAACTTTCGTGACTAAGATTCATTTGAAGAATGCTTGATTTTAAGCTAAGGGGTAAAAAACTACATTGTTGTAAACAAAAAAGTAAATCAAGTTTTAATTCCAATAAACAAGCAACTTCACATCCATCACATACCCTTCTAGAAAAACTTTCAAGTGAATTTTAGATATTACATTAACTTGTGTGAGTTTATGATGCAAAAATTTGATATGTTTGTTATACGAAAAGTATGTTTTACATAAATATACTTATTTTAAAAATAACAAAGTATGATACGTAATATATGTATATTGAAAAATTATAAAATTTTTAAAAAACATAATAAATATATAATTATTATTGTGAATCCAAATTAAAATCAAAGCGTATGTATTAAAATTTTTAACATAATCTTATATATTATTACCACTAATATATTGATTTATATATTAGATAATTTATTGATAAATATTAGTAAAGTATCCTAAAATTCATATACGGGGATATACGTCGATATGAATATACGTCAACTCAGATACGTGAGACAAATTAAAGCATATTAGGTGCGTGAGAATAGACAAACTTCTAAAAAAATATTTTTAAGAACCATGATATTTTAACAACTTTTTGACAACCGATTATGAGTCATTATTTTATTAGTTCATATATTTGAAACAGACTAATGACGTGCTATCCAGATTATTGTAAAAAAAGTCGTTAAAAGAGAGTTTTTCCTAATTTGAAGTGTGTTATCCTTCATCACATGTATAAAAAAATAACTTAAGTCAATTCATTGGTTGTATCCCTATACCTGCCACGATGATTGCAATGAGCTTGTTTATGTCTGAAGCAAGTTTTCATTTGCCACGTCTAATGCTTGAGGAGCTCCACCACCGTCACTTCTCTGGATGTTTCAGCCACGTATAAGTTCCATTGAATATATATATATATGAATATGTAGCTTATAATTGATGCTATTAAGGAAGTGGTTTTCAAAGTGCTATAAAATGTTTACCTTGTAAAAGTCAACAGCAACATAATTAGGCCATCGATTACCTGCAGCAGTGAAGCACATATTCATCATGGTCATCAAAGGAGAAGAGTTATCCCTACATGCTTCCTCAGAATTTTTGACATTTCGAAAGTAGTTCATTAAGACCAATGACTTTGTTGTTGTGTTCATTGGAAGTGATTCAG